CGTCTCCCTGACAAGTGTTTCCGTATCGTCGCTCAGTTGGGTGCTGAGCCTACAAAACATAGGGTCACTCATTCTTTCTTTTTTTTTTTTCTTACCTTTTTGGGTGTTCTTCGTTTTTCTTGAAACCACACCTCCTCCCTGCGCCTCGTCCAATCTCCTCCGCGCGCAGTCCTCTGAGCAGCCCCGGTTGGATAAAACCTGCCTCGGTGTGGGCTGCAGACACACACACATACACACACACACACAAACGCAGGGCACAATACAAGGCTACAACAGTCTCCTGCAGCACAGCACGGACACACACGGCTTTAAACCGCAAGAGTCCCGTCGTTTGGATAATATAAGAACATCCACCGAGGAGCGGTTTTTTTTTCTCACGTGGAGCTCCGTCGTGGAAAGGTAAGGTCTCCTCTAAACCTGTGGCTGGAACCTATGATGGGCTGCGACTCTAACTGAGAATCAGGGGAATATTCAGTGACACAGCGGAGAGCTTAACTGTCCAGAAACATCGCAAAGAGCCGCGAAACGCAGGCAGCTGAGAGGGAGCATCGTTCTGTTTCGGTTAAAGAGAGAATAAAAAAACAGACAGATCGTGTGAATCATCTGGACTCTGAAGATGTGACCACATAGGCGCGAAGTTTAGATGATGAACAGACAATCCAGATGTTCTTAAAATGTTTCCAAAGGCTAATCCAGTCTGATTTCTTCTCTGAATCAAAAGAATAAATATATAACATTGATTACAAAAAAAAAAACATTTACCAGAATAATCATAAAAATCCAATGAGGTTTCTCTTGACCTAACTCTTACTTTGGATGTAAAAATCCATATTATTATACTTGTTGATCTGTGATGAGAACATTTTACAATTCTGCTGTAAATCATGATCACATTTTAAAGTTATATTTCATCAAGGACTTTACAAAAAAATTGGATTCCATAGTATTTAAATATTTCTATGACTCCTTAAATTTAAAGTATTCAGAGTTGCTGCTGTGATAAACTGTAGTTGTTTAAAAAGTTTTTTTTTTCTTGTTTTAATTTATGTCTTAAAAATCAAAGCTGGAGCAAATCAGGAAAAATATGACTCGTGATCTAAATAACTAGTGGAATGATGCTATTTCATTTGTTTTAGAGGTGTTTTAAACATGTAACTTCAAATAGCGTTATATTATCGTTATAATATAGTTTTTGGCAGATGTCAATCATGGAACATGACTAAATTTGTAAATTGATTTTAAGTTAAAATGTAGATTTCTATATTAAATTAGTATTTTCAACTCAGATAATTGAGAGTGACTTCTAATTATGCTATTAACAGTGACAGAAAAGTTAATTCACACAAACAAGAGACAATGAGAAAATGGGTTAAAGTGACAGAAAAATCTAAAACCTAATTATGAAAACTGATAGATGTTAAATATAATCCAAAATTAGTCTGAGGCATTACTTTGTGTCACATCTATCAAACGTTGTGGCAGCCTACTAATTATTAATGCTGCCACAAAACGGGGCATGACACCAGTAACAGGAGGAATAAAGAAAAAACTGAAAACAGGTTTAACAGACAACACATCCACAGAGACAACATGACAGTGGCTTCTTCTCCTAAAGCACCAGTGATATTAACAATGCAACCAGACTTTAATTTATTTCGTACAGAGACTAAACCAGTGTTAACTTTTGTCACGTGCTTGCTCAGAAAGATTTTTCAACATTTTCCAGTTTTGAAAGGAATCTAGAATGACCCTTCCTCCCCCAGAAAATTACAATAGTAAGACAAAATGAACATTTCAATTTATGTTCATGAATGAAATTGTTTTGTCTGTCTCGTTTGACATAAATTTCTAACTTAATTCAGCTGGAAGACTCTGCATGGAGCCCAAAAAGAAGGCCAGCCGCCACATTCACAGTTTTAAATTTCTGTGGAGTTAAGAGGCCAGATTTAGTCTGATCCCGCACTTTGTTCACCTGTCATTTATGCACATGCCGTCAGTGATCACAGATGAAACTCTCTTCTTGTCTTTCATTTCTTTCCACCAGCTAACTCCATCTATTAAACAGTAACAAGTTCTCTTCATAGTAAAATGACCACTTCAGCTTCTCCTTTCACAACTTTTTAGTTCAGGACCCAAATTACCAGCTTTTTATTGTTGTTTTTTTAAAGCTATGATATGCTTGAAATGGCTTACCATATGATTAATGACAACATTCAACTCTAATTATGAAGCCAGTGAATGGGGGAGTTGTTTTGTACAAAGTGAGCTGCTCCTTGCACAGCTGGAAGGGGAGAACATCTGTAACGTCTAACACAGACCAGCAGGTTTTGTCTACAGGCCTCGCAGCCTTCGCCTGCTGTCTCCCCAGGACAGGCAGGTACAGGGGGCTGGAGGACAGAAGCGTGGCTCAGCGCTTAAATCTCCTTCTGCTGTGCTTTCCAAAGTGGCATTTCCCGAGGACGGGCGTGATGTGTGAACATCAGCCGCCTGCCTGTTCTGTGTGGGGGCATCCCGCAGAGCAGACGGCCAGTTTCAATGTCTCCTGTCGTCCTGCAGCTTGCGAGCGACGGTGCACTCGGGAGCACACACATGCCAGACCAGGCAGGACGCGCAGTAAAAGCACATTAACAGGGACAGAAGCAAAGGAGAGCCTCCCGTTCAGCCGGTGGAGCACGGACCAGAAACTCAGGGATATGTCCAATAACACTGGAAGAGGTAAATAACACAAGCTGGCCTGCTGCTGCTGACCGGGCAGCTCATTTGAAACATTTAAGCCACTTTCTGGCAGAAACAGGATGTGAAAACAAACACAAAAAAAGCCTCAGGAGGACACTCAGTTTATACTCTTTTGCAAGCTTTTCAATAACTGAGAGGGGCCTGTGTCCATAACTATAACGCTCTAAGATCAACTTTTTCCCTTTTAATTTGATCAAACTATACTTCTGGTGGGAAATTATCAATGGTAGGCATTTACATCTGCCTCTCACCTTACAGGGTGACAGCACACAGTCGTTTTATAGAACTCCCTGAAAGAGGAACAGTGCACAATGAGATGTTGAGATGCACAGAAGTCTTTATCCATATTTCCAAACAGCTGCGCTGCTCTAATGTGACAATACGGCCAAATACTTCTGATAACACAGAACGTCTTTATCATCGAGGAAATCCAGCTTTCCATCCATCTATATTATGAATTAGTGCTTTGTCTTTCGCTGCGCGCTCGATCCCTGCGCGTCCTGCGCGTCAGGTCGCGCGCAGCCCCCTCGCACCCCCCCCCCCCCCAGCTTTTAATATCCTACACGTTGGTGAAGCTTGGCTAAGGGGGTTCTATGTTATCAGAAGTATTTGGCCGTATTG